CCTTGGTCCCAGGGCTTAGGTTCCCCCTGTGGTTGTACGTTTGGTTCATCTGGGCATGTTTAGGTTATGTGACCTTCAACCTGGGAATCCATGGTAACAGAAAACAATTCACAACTTCATTGCATAAAAGTTATGCCACATCCCTCTAGTGCAGCTACAGGAATATCTACCTTAGTGTTGTTAAAAGGATTAAGAGATATGATGCAAATAAAGTGCTTAGAACATTGCTGGCATGTAAATACTCAACAAATAGTAGCTAATATTCATTCCAAGCTTCCAAGGAGGCTGGAAATAAAAAATTTCAGCAGATATTAACAGGAACAGGGAATTTCTCCTAACAGCACATTTATTAATAATAATTGGAAGAGGCTAAGCACAGTGGCTCACACCTGTAATCCCATCACTTTGGGAGACCAAGGCAAGCGGATCATCTGGTTGAAGGTTGCAGTGAGCCGAGATCACGCCATTGCACTCCAGTCTGGGCGACAGAGGGAGATTTCCTCTCAAAAAAGAAAGAATAATAATAATGATTTGAAAAGTAAAAATGTTAGATAGCTGACTTTTTTTCCTTGGTTTCTTTCACCAACTTTTCTATTTCCAAATAGTCCTTATGTTTAATGAAATTATTGTGAGAGTAAATGGCCTGTTTCTTTTCTCTGTCCTTGCCTGGCCATGTTGGGCCCCCTCATTCCACTTATTCCTTCCTCCTCCTTTTTCCTTCTTTTCTCCCCACTCCTTCCCATCTCCTCCTTCCACATTTTTTGGGTCAAGTTTCTTCGGGTATAATGTACATGAAGTAAAATTCATCCTTTTAAATAAACAGTTTTATGAGTTTTGATTAACATATGCAGTTTTGATAAACACATCCGCTCCACAATAAAGGTATAGAACAGCCTCTATCACCCCAAAAGTTTCCCAACTCTTTTTTCTCCACTTTTAAAAATTTCTTTTTATCACTAGTTTTCAATAGCTTTGATTTTACATGCATTGGCATACTTTTCTTTATGATTTTTTCCACTTGGAAATCTTTCAGGCTCTGGGACCTGTGAGTTTACACTTTTCATCACAATTGGGAAAATTTTAGTCATTATTTCTTAAAATATTTTTGTGGTCTCTTCCCTTTCTCTCTTCTACTTTTTTGGGACTTTTGGATCACATGTATTTTAGACCACTTGATATCACCCAATATCTTTCATCTTTTCCTACTCTTTTCCTCTCTGTGCTTCATTTTAGATCTCTTCTATTACTATGCCTTGAAGTTTTTAATCTTTTATTTGGCAGTGTCTAATCTTCTGTTAATCCCATCTAGTGTATCTTTCTTTTCAGGTCTTACATATTTTCATCTCTAGAAATTCCATTTAGGTCTTTTATTATATCTTCCATTTCTTTCCTCACCATGTTGATGGTTTCCTCTATGTCATTTTGTTATAAGAAGCCTATTTGTGGCCAGGCATGGTGGCTCACGCCTATAATCCCAGGACTTCGGGAGGCCAAGGTGGGTGAATCACCTGAAGTCCAGAGTTTAAGACCAGCCTGGTCAACGTGGTGAAACACCGTCTCTACTAAAAATATAGAAATTAGCTGGGTGTGGCTGTGTGTGCCTATAATCCCAGCTACTTGGGAGGCTGAGGCAGGAGAATCACTTGAACCCAGGAGGTGAAGGCTGCAGTGAGTTGAGATCACACCACTGCACTCCAGCCTTGGAGACAGAGTGAGACTCCATCTTAAAAAAAAAAAAAAAAAAAGAAGAAGCCTATTTGTAATAGCTGCATTAACACCCTTGTCTGCTAATTCCATCATTTCTATGATTTCTGAGTCTATTTTTATGAATTGATAGTTCTTCTGGTTGTGGGTCTTATTTTTCTGCTTCTTTTCATGTCTGATAATTTTTTATAGGATGCTAAGTGCTTTTTGTGGGGTTTTTTGGAGACAAGTCTCACTCTGTGGCCCAGGCTGGAGTGCGTCGGCACTGTCTCAGCTCAGCACAACCTCTGCCTCCTGGGTTCAAGCGATTCTCCTGCCTCAGCCTCCCGAGTAGCTGAGATTACAGGTATATGCCACCACACCCAGGTATTTCTTTTGTATTTTTAATAGAGAGGAGGTTTCACTGTGTTGGCCAGGCTAGTCTCAAACTTCTGGCCTAAATGATCCGCCTGCCTCAGCCTCCCAAAGTGCTGAAATTACAGGCTTAAGCCATCATGCCTGGCCAAGAATGCTAATTGTTTGAGTCAGCTCAGGCTGCAATATAACAAAATGTGATGTTCCATGTGGCTTAAACAACAGAAATTTAATTTCTCACCATTTTAGAGGCTGGGAAGTCTACAATCAGGGTGCCAGAATGGTTAGATTCTGGCGAGGGCCTTCTTCCTTTCTTGCAGGTGGCTGCTTTTTTGTTGTATTCTCACATGGTGGGGGGAGAGAGAGAGAGAGAAAGAGAGAGAGAGAGAGAGAGAGAAAGAGAGAAATCTCATGCCTCTTCTTGTAAGGGCACGAATCCTGTCATGAGGTCTCAACCCTCACGACTCAATTACCCTCCAAAGACACCATCTCCAGTTACCATCACGTTGGTTTCAACATGTGAATTTCAGGGAAAACAGTTCATTTAAGAGCACTGGACATTGTAAATTTTGTTATTGGGTGCTGGATTTTATTGTATTCCTTTAAAGAGTATTGAACTTTGTTTTGGGACACTGTTAAGTTACATGGGGATCATTTTAGCCTTGCTTTTAAACTTTTCAGAGGCAGTTTCAGAATTGCCTTTAGTCTAGGGCTAATTTAGCCTGATGACTGAGATGAGTCCCCTTATGATGACTCTGCTTGATGCTCAATACATTAAGAAGTGTCTCCATTTTAACTGTTGGAATAAGAAATAATTTCTGACCTTATATGAACTCTTTAGCCTACTGCTTTCCAGCAGCTTCCCCCTTGGCCTTGGGTACTTTTTTCTCACATATATATAAATCAGTACCCAGCCAAAGACTCAAGAGGACCTTGGAGATCCCTGAAGTTGAGAAGCCTGAGCTCCTCTTCAGCACTCTTCCCTGTAAATTCTAGCCACTTTGTCCATTCTGCTTGTTTCCCTTCTATGAGCTGCATTGTAAAAACTGTCTCCATACAGGAAGGAGTGATCATAAGGCTCATCTCATTTGTTTCCTATCTCTCAGGAATCATAGTCTTCATTGTCTATTGTCCAATATATGGAAAGCATTGTCTCATATAATTTTGCCTATTTTCCTAATTGTTTAAGGGAGAGTAAATCCGGTCTGTATTACTCTATCATTACGGGAAGCAGGAGTCTTTGCCCAACACTTTTGAGAAAAAAATTATACATCTGGAAGATCTGAAAGTCTGAACAACACTGCTATAGACCTTTTAACTCTCTTCAAAACCATCCTGGAAAAAAACCCTTTATAGTGTAGGATTTGACCAGTCTAGATCAAAATTGCACAATTTCCCCACCTTGAAATTAAGGACCAAGAAGGGTGGGGAAAGGAGAGAGAGAAGGAGAAAGGAAACATGAAGGTGCCCTCTCCTTGCTGTGGTTTGAATGTGTGTGTCTTCCCTGAATTCATATATTGGAACGAAAGACCTGATGTGATAGTATTAAGAGGTAGGGGACTTTAGGGTGATTAAGTAATGAGGGATCTACCTTCATGAATAGGTTTAGTGCCCTTATAAAAGGGCTTGTGGGAACTAGCTAGGTCCTTTCAGACCTTCCATCCCTTCTGTCATGTGAGGACACAGTATTCATTCTTTTTTGTCCCCTTCCACCACATGAAGATGCAGCAAGGAGATGCCATCATGAGGCCGGGTGTGATGGCTCACACCAGTAATCACAGCACTTTGGAAGGCTGAGATGGGTGGATCACTTGAGGCCAGGAGTTCAAGACTAGCCTGGCCAACATGGCAAAGCCCCATCTCTACTGAAAATACAAAAATTAGCTGAGAGTGGTGGCGTATGCCTGTAATCCTAGCTACATGGGAGGCTAAGTCATAAGAATCACTTGAACCTGGGGGGTGGAGGTTGCAGTGAGCTGAGATTATACCACTGCTCTCCAGCCTGGGGAATACAGCAAGACTCCATCTCAAACAACAAAGAAGGTGCCATGATGAGAGCAGAGAGCAGCCCTTACCAGACACCAAATCTGCTAGTATCTGCATCTTAATCTTGGGCTTCCTAGCCTCCAGAACTGTGAAAAAATAAATTTATCTTTATAAATTACCCAGTCTCAGCTACTTTGCTATAGTAGCACAAATGAACTCAGATACTCCCCAGTACTGAGAAATGCATTCTGCCTGACTAGGAAGCAGCAGAGTTGTTGACATGCAGGTACAGGTGCGAAATGTCTGGGTCCAAGTCCTAGCTCTGCCATTTACAAGCTGTCTTTGGGCTGGTTACTTTACCATTCTGTGTAATATTAGGCATCTTCTTAGGGTTGTTACGAGAGTTAAAGAAATTAATGGTTTTTTTGTTTTTGTTTCTGAGATGAAGTCCTGCTCTGGAGTGCAGTGGCATGATCTTGGGCTCACTGCAACCTCCGCCTCCTGGGTCCAAGCAATTCTCCTGTGTTAGCCTCCTGAGTAGCTGGGGTTACAGGCACACACCACCATGCCCAGCTAATTTTTTAATATTTTCAGTAGAGATGGTTTCACCATATTTGCCAGGCTGGTCTTGAACTCCTGACCTCAGGTGATCCACCTGCCTCAGCCTCCCAAAGTGCCAGGATTACAAACATGAGCCACCATGCCTGGCCAATAAATTAATGTTTGTAAAATACTGAGGACTGTGAATGGTACATAGCAAGCACTATGTAAGTGCTTGATTAGAAGTATGCATGATTTTTTTTCGTTAAAGAAGTAATACATATTTAGTGTAGATATAGAAGTTCACTGGGGCAGAGAAGTGTGGCCTGCTAAGGCTATCTGTCTTCCAAGACACCTCTTAGATCGGATTTCCTTAATACAGAGTATTTGCTCAATCCTAGCTCTCAATCTTGCAGGTGTGGGAGAAACAAAGCTTGCCGTGGCAACTAGATCAGATCTCTCAAAGACAACTTCCATCTCTATAGTAGCAACCACTGGGAGGCCCCAGCATGACTATATGTTTGGCAGTGCTCTCTGTCTAGTGAAGAATTCACACCTTCTTTATTGGGCAAAAATAACTAACAAAACTGGTCATCTCTGCTTTTTACAACTCAAGTTGCCAGTTAAAATTTTCTTGAACAAACATGTTTTATAACTTAACTAAACGGTTATGAGTTTTATGGTTTAAAGATTGTATTTACAATCTGTATAGTCCCATACTTGTATCTTGCAGAAAGCCACCTGTCTTCTTGCTGAACATGAGGAAAGAATGAGCAACTGTAATAATCAGGAAAAATATATGTATATATTACTTCTTACTTTAAAAAAATTATGATAAAATACACATAACATAAAATTAACCATCTTAACAATTTTCAAGTGTACAGGTCAGTGGTATTAAGTACATTCATATCAAAAGTCTTGTTTAGTCTTGCAAAACTGAAACTCTGTACCTATTTAATAATATCTCCCCATTCTTCCCTCCACCCGGCCCCCGGCATCCCCGATTATACTTTCTGTCTCTGTGAATTTGGCTAATCTAGGTACCTCATATAAGTGGAATCATAAGGCATTTGTCTTTTTGTAACTGGCTTATTTCACTTAGCATCATGTCCGCAAGGTTCACCCATATGGTAGCGTGGGTCAGAATTTGCTTCCTTTTTAAGACTAAAGAATGTTCCATTGTGTGCATGTATCACACTCTGTTTATTCATTCATTTGTCAAGGATACTTGGGTTGCTTTCACCTTTGGCTACTATGAATAATGTTGCTGTGAACTTTGGTATACACATATCTCTCTCAAGCTCTGCATCAAATTCTTTTGAATATATACCCAGAAGGGGAATTGCTGCATCATATGGTAATTCTATTTTTTAATTTTTTTGAGAACTGCCATTCTGTTTTCCATAGTGGCTGCATCATTTTACTTCCCAACAACAATGCCCAAGGGATCCAGTTTCTCTACATCCTATGTGACACTTGCTATTTTTTATTTATTCATAATAGCCATCCTAACAGGTGTGAGGTGATATCTCATTGTGGCTTGATTTGCATTCCCTAATGATTCCTCTCTTTTTAAAAAAAGCAATTAAGAAATGTCTTACATACAGATATAAGATAAAGTGCCATATCTTATCAGCACAGCGGAATGAAATAGTACACACGTGTATACCTGTGAAACCACCACCAGATTAAAATATAGAACATCCCCCCAAAAAATAAAATTAAAAAAAAATATATATAGAACATCCCTAGCACCCCAGAGGCCTCCCTCCCATCCCCTCCCAGTCGGTAAGCTCTAAGATAACCGCTCTTCTGGGCATGTATAGTTTTCATCTACCCTGTGGCTCTTGCCCCACCAGACTAGTTTCCAACAATGCCCTTGGCATGTTGTTCTATTACAGTCACAGCATATTAACATTCTACATAACCTTCTCTTCCTTATCTTGCTGAGAGGGCAATTTCAACACACTATTTAAAATTCTCCAGGTACTTATGTCCCCCAAATTGTTCCCCTTCTCTTTACAAGTCTTCTTATCAAATCCAATTGTGACCTCACACTTCTGCAACCAAGATTTGTTTGATTCTACACAGTCTTAGCAGCTGTCTTCCCTCGGAAGTGGAATTACATTTACCAAGCTCATGAGACTGAGATGGAAAATTGGAATGTCAATGTATTCACTGATGGCATGAAATATAATTGTTAAGCAGACTGGCATCTACTCAGCACAACCAGCACATTCTTTCCTGAAGGCAGATCCAAGTGAAAAGTCAAATTACACAGAGGGTGGCTTGGTGAGCATTTAATCATTCAACATGATCTACTAAAAGACAATTACATGTCAAGCACTGTGCTGGACACTAGGTGGAGAATAGTGAATAAGAAAGACAGGGCTCTGTGCTCGTGGATTCTAAAGTGTACGAAAAAGACAAGCTTGAATGTTTCATCAGATTTGTAGGTTAAAGAAAAAAAAGACTGCATATCTTAGGCTCTGCTTTCTCCCTGGATCCACTAAAATAACAGTACAGGGTTTTTTTTGTTTTGTTTTTGTTTTAATGCAGTCTTACTCTGTCTCCCAGGCTGGAGTGCAGTGGTGCGATCTTGGTTCACTGCTACCTCTGCCTCCTGGGTCAAGCAATTCTCCTGCCTCAGCCTCTCTAGTAGCTGGGATTACAGGTACACGCCACCAGGCCTGGCTAATTTTTTTTTACTTTTAGTAGAGATGAGGTTTCACCACCTTGGCCAGGCTGGTATTGAACTCCTGACCTCATGAACCACCTGCCTCGGCCTCCCAAAGTGCTGGGATTACAGGTGTGAGCCACCGTGCCTGGCTGGGGATTTTTTTTTAAAGACAGTGCATTCGGACAGGGCTCAGCAAACTATGGTCCGCAGGCCAGATCCAGCCTGTTGCCTGTTTATGTACAGTCTGCAAGCTAAGAATATTGTCCACTATTGTCTGTGGCTGTTTTCATACTGCAGTGACAGAGTTGAGTGGATGCAATGGAGACCATACAGCATGCAAAGCCAAGAATGTTTACTATCTGCCTTTTACTGAGAAAATGTGCCAACCCCAGTTCTGAACAGCACTGTTCAATAGAATTTTCTGCAGTGATGGAAGTTTACTATCTGCCTTTTACGGAGAAAATGTGCCAACCCCAGCTCTGAACAGCACTGTTCAATAGAATTTTCTGCAGTGATGGAAATGTTCTGCACTCCCTGATGCAGTAGCCAACCACTAGCTTTGTGTGGCTATAGAGCACTTGAAACGTGGCTAGTGCAGTTGACAAACTGAAAGTTTATTTCATTTTATTTCATTTAATTAATTAAATTTAATTAATTAACTTTTTTACTTATTTCTGAGACTGACTCTTGCTCCGTTGCCCAGGCTGAAGTGTAGTGGCACAATCTCAGCTCACTGCAACCTTCGCCTCCTGAGCTCAAGCAGTCCCCCTGCCTCAGCCTCCCGAGTAGCTGGGATCACAGACACTCACCACCAAGCCTAGCTAATTTTTGTGTTTTTAGTAGAGATGGGGGTTTTTACCATATTGGCCAGGCTGGTCTTGAACTCCTGACCTCAAGTGATCCACCTGCCTCGGACTCCCAAAGTACTGGGATCACAGGTGTGAGCCATTGCACCCAGCCTATTTTAATTAAATTTAAATCGCCACATGTGACCAGAGACTACTCTATTGGATAGCACAGTTGTAGAGTGCAAGAGAAAGGGTATCTGGCTTGAGAGACACCAAGCTTAGTGAAGATAGGGGCTTCGGACTGCAAGCAGAAGGATGAAGAGAAAGTTCACATCAGGATGGTTGAGATGACCTGCCCAGTTGCTTCTTGGGCTTCTTTTCTAGCCTAGACTCCAGAATGCTGACTCGGAACAAATAACGCTGACCCTAAACAAATAATGAGACTTATAGGTTAAAAAAAAAAAAAAAGACTATTAGCAGGTATGGTGGCATGGGCTTGTAGTCCCAACTACTCAGGAGGCTGAGGTGGGAGGATCGCCTGGGTCTGGGAGATCAAGGCTGCGGTGAGCCGTGATCACTGCACTCCAGCCTGTGTGACAGAGTGAGACCATGTCTAAAAAAAAAAAAAAAAAAAAAAAGAAAAGAAAAAAAAGAAGGAAAACTGCACAGAACTATACTCTCTACGGGATGATTGTCCTCTCCCAAAAAGAAGCTAGAAGAGTCTTTTCTGGAGAATTTAAGCAATTCAGAAGGAAAGACCTAAAGATTTTGATATTGAGGCTCCCTAATGGATAGTCACATCAAACTCATAGTTAATAAGCCCTCCTCATATGCACATAGCTTCCAATAGCTTTTAGTCTAAGTCTTATCCTTCGATATAAGCAAACAGTCAAGGATCATCATAGGTTTTTTATTATTTTGTTACTTAGGTTAATACAATGTAAAGAATAGTAGATTTGAGGAAAGCCTGTAATAAATAAGAAAGAGACCAAACAGACAAAGATATATGGAAACCTACTTTATTAAATTAGGAGATCCATGATGTTGGATTATGAGAAAAATTGTCTTTATTTTCACAAAGTTCAACTTAAACTTAGCACTTCCTTCAATTATGAACACAATAGACCATAGCAGTATTAGTGTTCCTGTGACTTCATCACCAATAGAAATCAGATATTTTCGGCCGGGCGCGGTGGCTCAAGCCTGTAATCCCAGCACTTTGGGAGGCCGAGGCGGGTGGATCACGAGGTCAGGAGATCGAGACCATCCTGGTCAACATGGTGAAACCCCGTCTCTACTAAAAATACAAAAAATTAGCTGGGCATGGTGGCGCGTGCCTGTAATCCCAGCTACTCAGGAGGCTGAGGCAGGAGAATTGCCTGAACCCAGGAGGCGGAGGTTGCGGTGAGCCGAGATCGCGCCATTGCACTCCAGCCTGGGTAACGAGCGAAACTCGGTCTCCAAAAAAAAAAAAAAAAAAAAAAAAAAAAAAGAAATCAGATATTTTCCTATCACATTGCTATTGCTGAAATTATTTTAAAATATTACTTAATGTTCATCACAACTTTGAAATTATGGTCATTATTAGACATGTTCTAAATCTTTTAGAAGCACATATGTTAGTCTATGACTGATTTGCTTTTTAAATATTTTGATAGGTGTACTTTAATATGAATGATTTCTTTTGTAATCCTATGTATACAATTTTATTCATTTAAAAAATATTATGCTGAGAAGGCATCCTTGAACTCCATCAGACTGCAGAGGGGTTCAAGGCACAAGAGGGGTTAAGAGAATATATAATAGTGTTCTCTTTACAGCTATAAGTGGATGGGGAAATGCAGATAATAATCATTAAGCACTATGTGCCAGATTTTAAAATTCACAATTCTAAGAGGTATGTATTATTATTATTTTGTAAGTTTTTATTAGAATTTTGAAATGCTTGTGTTATTTCAATGGGATATTTGGAGAGAAAAGACATGAACTGATGTGTTTAATCAGTCCTCTAAATGCGAAGGCCAGCTTTCTTTTGTGAAAATAGTATGTGTACATCATAAGCGAGTAAGGGAAGTGCAATAAGGACAGTAAAAATCACCCTTAACTTCCCTACTTGTTTGGTAAACGTCATTCCAGACAGCAATCTATGCATATAGACATAAATATACATATGCACACATAACTTATATAAAGATACATGTACATGGGGACTTCAAAGAGTTTGGAGGAAAGTGAAATTAAAGATAAAAATAGAAAACCTAAACTTAAAATAACAAAAAAAGAAAAAAAAAAGATTAAAAAATAAAAAAAAAAATTAAAAAAATAAACTTTATTTCTCAACATAAGCTCTGTCAAGTTCAAGACACTTTTGTAAGTGA